CCGCCGTCGTTTCCTCCAGGCGCTTGGGGGCACGTCGGCGGCAGCGCGTCCCGGCGGCTGCCCGAGTCGCTCTGTGGCTGTCGGAGCCATCAGCCCTTTCCAGGAGCAAGTTGCCGGTTGCTTGGCTGTGCAGTCCTGGGCAGAATCCACGGCTGTGCTGCGGAGTGGGTCCGGGGTTTCTTTCATTCTTTGTAAGCCAGCTCTGAGTGGCTCTGTATTTAAGCAGCTTCAGTGACGCTGGGAAACAATCAGACGTAAATTTCAGGTTGTAACGGATGATTGTTCAGGGTGCCTACAAGGACTTCTGTATTACTTTTCCGTATCCAGCTGTAGTGGCTGTGCTTCCTCAGGCGGTACCTCTGTGTGCTGACCTCTCTGATGATCTCCCTTCTCTCTCTGCCTCTGGCAGAGTTCGTTTTTTCTGCAGTTTTTCGTAGTATTAAAATACTTCCTCCTGTTGTATCTTCTCCCGTGTATTCTTACAGGTTTCAGCATCACAATAGAAGAGCATTTAATTTTTTAAGTTATTCAAGTTTTCAAGGTACTTCTAACTTAGTTAGTTCTAGATTTTTACTTTAAATTCTGGTGGCATTTATATAGTTGTCTCCAGTGGTTAGTTTTGACGTATTTCTTGTAGTATGTGGGAAAAATGAGATCACTTAGCACCCTATATTTTAGTGTGGGAATGAGATGAATTTTGAAATTGAGGGATTTTTAAATGTATCTCAACTAAACCTTTTATTTCGTCTGTGATTGTGTTTCAGAACATCCTCAACCTGTCTGCTCCTTATAAAATCAGGAAACCTTGTATGTGAACAAATTGTGGAGTATGTTAAAGTAATATATTACAAGAATTAGTTGTGTATCATTCAGACTTTCTTTGTTGTTGTTCTTATCTTCTCCCAACTACATAGCCCTTGGCATTTTAACAATGCTGAAAGAAGATGGGTTAATTTACTAACTGTGAAGCTCTAAACATAACAGGTGACCAGAACTGACTTTGTACAACACGGGTGGGGCATTCCTTTAGAGCTGTATAAAAACTGAGGCGTTCAAGCTTTTCTTAAATAGACACCGCAAACAACTAGTTCATATAAAACTGTAGCTAGTTTATATTTGGGAAAATAGCAGTTAGCTCAGGCTGAAATATCTACAAGTTAGATCTCAACTTCTGTTGCCAATAAGAAGCCATGAAAACAGCATATACACAGAGTATTGATGAAAGTGGAAAGAGCTGATTCACATCCTCCTCTTTTGCCTGCCCAGCAGTCAATTTAAATGGCTTGTTGCTGTAGAACATAAAACAGTTGAAAAAACATGCACAAAAATCTCTGCAGAGATCTTAAGACCTGGATAGATCAGCAGTTTTTCAGAGGAAAGACAAACAGTGTAATAGACATTGATTTCTGCTGGCTTTAGACATGCACACTGCAAGGAAAAATTGATTTTTAGATTTTTTTTTTTTGTATAATCATCTTCATGGGTATGACTTGCTTCAAACAGTTGGTTAGAGATGTAGTAAAAGCTGTTGTCATTGGTTTATGATAGAAATGTAGATGGTTTACTTTGGAGCTCTTCAGCGCACTGTGGAGCTTCAAACTCATCTTGAAATCAGGGACAAGTTGAGTACAAAGGATTGAGTGTAATGTTTATGCCTGCAGCTATTTCACAGAAGACTTAGCCCATCTCATAAACCCAGGATATCAATTATGATGGTTAT